AACATGAAGCAATGCCACACAGACTCACCTGCACTCCTCCTTGCCTCTCACCTTCGGTGAGCAGGCACTGATGACTAGCATGCATGTTGCCCAAAAGCACCAGGTTCATTTTTGAGCAACCTTCGGCGGGTCGTTCAAACCTTCGCCGGGACAAAGGGGCTCCCCTTAAACACTAGGAACGTCCTTCCACTTAAACAACCGCTGCGACAAAGAAGTTTTTGTGAAGATGTCTGTCCATCTTAGCAGACACCTATGACGGAGATTCTTCTCGCGCCATAGCCACAGCACGTACTTCAACTGACGAAGAGTTGGCAAATCAGCCCTCTCATATGAAGGAGAAAACACGACTGACAATCTTTCTATCAGATCTTCCTTCAGTCCGGAAGTCACAAAGCCCTGGCCTCTCAAAGCGGCACGAAGTTCTTCACAAGTGAGAAGCTTGAGGACATCCTTGACCACACGGGACCTTTCCTGTAAGTTTTCCAAGCCAGCGTACACAGCTTTGCGCTCCGGGCGAAGGCATGGGCTCGGTTTCTTTCTGATCTCTCCTTCTCGGTGGAGTTGCCGGTGCTACCGAACCAGCTGAGCGCAAGGGCGATGCTTCTGCTGTTGATCCAGTTGGCCTTCTACGAAGAAAAGGTTCCTCCGCAGTCCTACTTCTGCTCGAAGTCGCCGCAGAGGATGGAAATCGGAGGTCTGAAGCTCTCTCGGAAACAAGACTCATTCCAGCTTGCGAAGCAACCTCCCTACGGGCAGCATCCGCGGCCAAGTCAGAGACCCTACGCAACTTCTTACTCTTACGATTCCCTTTTACCCACTTCTTGTATGACCGAAACATGGCCTTACTCGCCTCCCAAATGCCAATCACAGCCACGCACGTAACCACCAACAAAAAACACAGCTCTTCCCAGCCAGTCTTCGCCAAGGGTTGCTTAACAGGGCTCGTGCCGGCACCTTCCACAGGAACAAACAAGGAGCTCAGCAGAAGCACAACGGACATCAACTGGATCTTCAGGGTCTTCACCATGGCAGATAACCTTTCTCCAACAAAGCCCCACAGCGTCAGCAGTCGCCAAAGTCGTAACTTCGGCTGCAACTTAGTTGCTAGATCAGCAAGCTGGTACTCGCCCGGAGTGTGCCTTACGCTAAGGGTGCCTGCTTGTGTGGCCTCGCGGATGTAGTTGGCTCTGATTTTCAGACGCCTTGTTCGTTGACTGCCTGCCCCACCAGCGCACATGGAAGCAGCACTTGAGTTGTCTATAGCCAGAGCCTCCATCAGCAAGCATCCTTGAGTTGCAGCATACAGCTCCGCCTCCATCACGGACAACGTAATGAAACTTTGTCTGGATGCTCTCCAGGCTATGGGTGCTCCAGCAAGTGTCATGCGTCCAAACGGCGCATAAGATGCGTCCGTAAAGCAGACGATCTCATCTTGGACCTCGCCTCTTGGACCCAGCAACAGTCGCATATCCGACCTTCCTGACAGATAAGCCAGAAGTCTCTGGCCCACCCTTATCACATGTGATGGCTGCCTCGAAACATACGTGGCCATATGGTTCACCACGAAAAGAATGTCAGGACGCGACTTTGTTGCCAGCCAAAGAGCCTCCCCAACTGCCTTCTGAGCTATCCGAAGAGTCGACTCACCAAAGTCACTCTCCAAGGCATCCGGATCATTTTCCACAGCTTCACCCCATTCACGCGGCACAGGCAAGAGTGTGCTATGTGCGTCCTGCATGTTATGTGCGCGCAGTAAATCTAGGATGTGTGCTGTTTGGCTGATGCTGAAGCTGCTGCTGCTCATGTCCCATAAGGCCTCAACACCCAGGTACCTAACTGGAACCGTAGGATTGATCCACTCCAAGGAACTCGCTGGCCACTCCTCTTCCACAAACGCATGCAATGCCAAGACCACAGCCCGCTCTCCGAAGTACAGGATATCATCCACACACGTCACCAAGAGGCCGACAAGCGTATCAGTGACCTCGTCCTTGACCAACCAAAACCAAAACCAAGGCGCCCGCTTGAATTCTGGCCTTCTTGAGGCGAGAGTCTCTGTAAGAGGACCAGATGGCGGGACTCTCCCTAAGTCCGTACAATGGCCGCTCAATGAGCCACGCTTCAGCTCCAACAATGCCAGCTTCCCGAACTACCCGAGGAGGAAAAACTCCGTATCTTGGGAGATGGGACGGCCAAGGGGCAAGTAGGAAGGCCCCCGTGATATCGGAGGTTGCTGCTGCCCATTTATGTATTGCTGCCAACACCAATGCCGTTCTCAACCCATCTGTGCCGATTCCTGCCGCATACAGGTCGACGCCTTGGCTCTCAACGAAGTTCCCACAAATCATTAAACGACATTTCCTCTTGTAGCGCTGCTCACGCTGCGACGGAGGTTTCAAGGTGAAGACACACTTGGAAGGGGCCATCACCACTGTTCCAGAGCGCTCCATCTGGCGAATCTCCCCCGCTGTTACGGCGCGTACTGTGCCTGTAGCCAACAGGTTCTCCACCTCCTTGCGAATTGCGTCGGTCCACCTTTCCAAGACCACTCGCACTTGCTGAAGTGGGACTGTATGAACAACTTGAAGATCCTCTTCCCGAGCTTCCAGAAGCGACTCGTAGTCAACCTCGCCGGCGTCCATATCACCAGCACCACTCGAAGCCGAAGAAGACGAGGATACCTCCAAAGACCGCAAGCACAACATAGTCCGCAATGACTCCACATGTGCCAAATGCGAATGTACCTCTTCCAAGTACTGACTCACTTGTCCCCGCGCATCTTGCAAGTGACCACGAGTCTCATCTCCAAGCCGACGATACTCCTCCTGAAGGATCTCCTCTTCCTCAAGGAGAGTACGCAGCCTGGACACGCGGTCTTCAAGGTCACGTAGCACCGTAGCACCAGATCCAAATCCTGTCTGACATGCTCCAACGGTTCCGGAGTATCTTCTAACTCATGACGCAAAGGACGCTCACCCTGATCTGAGCCTTCTCCTTGATGCTGTAGATCT